TTCAAACTTTTGACTGCTTTCTTTAATAATTACACAACACAATACTTGTACTTTTAGTACTTAAGTATTGCAAGTAGTTTATATTAAAATTCACTACTTAAGTACAAAAAATGTTGAATACTTTAGTACTTCTACTTAAAGAGCACTTCAACTTCTACTCAAGTCACTTTTTTGATAGAGCACTTGTACTTTTACTCAAGTCCGGGTTTCTAGTACTTTATACATCTCTGTTCAAAACTAATGCAAACTGTCATTTTGGCCCTTTTAATTGGACCGATACACATTTAAAAGTCACTCACAAAGTCAAACTGCTAATGGTTTATAGTTGACTCTGAATGTATTTTAAAATCTCATTTGAATGCCCCTAAAAAGCTTGCAATTATGACTGACTTTACAGCTTTTCACAAGCATTAGTGTGTGCAAAATGACTTCTGACAGTCCAGCAGATTCTCATTCATCTGTTGATCTGCTGAGTTTAATCAGAAACAGATGCTTTATTTCGGCACATGCGAGGTGTAGTTTCTGAAATATTGATGGCGTCTAGGAATTGATCAGCGTGTGTTAATGCTTTAATGAGAAGACATGCTGCATGACGTTTAGTTATTGAAAGCTTCATGTTCAGTGTATTCAAACAAGACAATTCCATAATACAGATTCAATTTAGGTTTATCCATTATAGTCTCAGTCTATAAATAAATAAAAAGATTATACCACTACTGTATAACAATGAAAACATGAAAATTTCCCCAATTGTTTGTTATTTAATTTATTATTATTACAAAAAGCACATTAATAGTGCTCTTACTGTTGCAAGACCATTAACCCTCTGGGGTTCTTCGGGTCAATAATGACCTGAAGCGTTTAAATAAAAAAAAATTTAAAACTTGGTCCGAAACTTGGTGACTTTAATGGTACTTTGTATATGAACACCCCAAAAAATTGGGGACACGATTTGAAAAGTCTAAGTGGTCGTAAAAAAAATAGTCACACTCAGGACCTTCGGGTCAAAAATGACCCGCATAGGAAATGAATGGGAAATTGGCAAAAATGTGAAAATACTGAGTTTTTTTGTGCGTACAATCTACAAATCAGCAACGATCTTGGAAAAAAGCACACAACAGTGAAGGGGTGAATCTATAAAACATCAAGAGTGCAAAACAGACACATCCACACACACACAAACACACCTTTATACACAAACACACCAAAAAATTCAGATTATACATGTGTTTTGCATTTTTAAAAAGCTCAGTTTGTCCACGAAATGGCATCCATCTAATTTCAAAAATTGCTTTTATGAGGCCTAGGCTTGACTCCAAAATGAAATATAGCTTTAAAAAAAATTTAAAATATTTTTTTTTTCAATATTTTTTTCTATTATATTCAATGGGAGAAAATTTGGTCATAATTATTGCATTAATACTAATTATAATTTTTTTTTATTTTTGACATTTTCTCAAAACACCTAAAAAGAAAAGAAAAAATATTATAAAAAACAAGTAAAAAAAAAAAAAAAGAAATTTTGACCCGAAGGCCCCGAGTGTGACTGTTAAACGAAGAACCCCAGAGGGTTAAATGGGGTCAAAAGTTGCACTTTTTCGCTGTATTGTTTTTGTGTTCAAGGGTTATTTATGTTTAGTTGCGTTTTAGGGGCCATGCACTGCAAACTTTTCCATTTTTAGTACATTGTTGTCATGTAAACAAACCCTTAGTTTGGTTTTCCCTGTTCTGTTTGCCTGAGTTCTAGTTCCTGTTCTTTTGATTATCTTCCCTTGTGGATTTAAGCCCTTGGTTTTCCTCAGTTCCTGGTCCTCTGTTAACGTTATGCTAGTGTGTAGTGCTCTAGTGTTTACTAAAAGTATCGAAATTTAAATAATCAAAGCAGACATATATCCATTCCACATTTACAGCATTTAATCTCGCTAAATCTAGTGCTACCACTGGGAAAGAGATGCTTTGTGAAAGGTCTCAGTTAACAATAGCTTTGGCAAGAGTGTGTGCTTGTCTTTATTCCTCTAATGCAAATCTTCTTGTGTATGAAAAACTCACTCGCTCTGTTCTTCCAGAGCACCTAATTATGCATGAGAGCTTGCCATAGGTCAGCTCTAAAAAGCTTTTTATTATGGTAATGCCTTGTGTGTGTGTGTGTGTGTGTGTGTGATATATCCAGCCTCTGATTCAAGCATTGTGGTCAAAGCGTGACCCGTCATGCATTTTTCAGCAGGACTTGTTGAGATGCAGAGGAGTTTATTTATGGTGTTACTATAGTGTTGCCATGCAACTGTCCCATATTACAATGAAAAAACTTTGACCACTGAAAATATATTACAGAGCTGATAACAACTATGCAATAAACAAAATAACAATGTGATTTAGTGCTTAAGTGTACCAATTTCACTGTGGCTAGAATGTGTCTGGGTTAAAAAACGACGTATTGAATTTACACTGCAGACTTGAGGCATTGTGGAAAAAAAAGATCGAATTTTTCCAATTAAAATTATGCATGTATAATAACTTTATTGAATGCAGTCATGAATTAAAAATTACCTTGATTCTTGTTAAAAAAGTTCTTAATATTTTGGTCTTTAAAAAAAAAACATTCTTAAACAAGATATATACATATTAGGGCTGTGCAAAAATTAATTGCGATTAATCGCATCCAAAATAAAAGTCTGTGTTTACATAATATATTTGTGTGTGCTGTATATAATTATTTTATAAATACACACACATGCATGTATATATTTAAGAAAATGTGTTATTCATATATAAAATATTTATGTTTATATAATTTAGATTATGTATTTATATATATATACAGAGTTTAAGCGCAAATAATTCTTAAACATATACATGCATGCATAGGTATTTATATATACAAAATAATTATATACATCAATTAATTTTTGCACAGCCCTAATATATATATATATATATATGAAGAGTTCAGATGCAAAAGCCTCTAAATGCCATTTGAAATTTTCTTCTTTAATGATGATTTTTATCAAACTTGTATATTTCAGTTCAGTAATTTCACTTAAATAACAATTAATAGGTAATTACCATTGCCATTTAAGTGAAATCACTAAACTTAAATATACAAGTTTGATAAAAATCATCATTAAAGAAGAAAATTTCAAATGGCATTTAGAGGCTTTTGCATCTGAACTCTTCATATATATATATATATATATATATATATACTGTATACGCATTATTATTATTATTATTATTTTTAAATATTAAAATATATTTAATTGTCCTATATACAATTTTATAAATATGATCATTTTATAACCCTATATATATATATATATTTCTTTCTACAATGTTTTTTTAATATTATTATATTAGTGTAACTGTATCATTAACATGGTATTATTTACTGCTCTTATTTATAAATATTCCCTTCAGGCCAATAACCTGAACTTCTAATTGAGAATTGATAATTAGATCACATTTTCAATACTATAATTTTATTATTTACTATAAAATTATTATTATTATTTTTAATAATAGACAAATTCATTATTTATAAATAATAATGTTTGATTTGTATTTGGACAAAAAATAAACACAACATTTCTGAAGGTTCACTTCACTCTCGACTTGACAAATAAAATGTGGGCTAATTGTTAAAGAGTTTCAGGCCCTGTTAAGATTAGCCTTTTTTAGTCAAGTCCAGTGCTCTAATACGCCAGTGGTTTCATATGAAAGCGCTTTTGCATTGCAGATGCACAGGGAGACGAGTATTTTCTGAATATGTAATGCAGGTCTGGTGAGGGTAACGAAGGGACTCCATCATGCCTCCGCTGTTTACATCGCTGTAAGGCATCACTCATTTCTCCCGCACATCTGACTCGATGAAGGGAAAATGCTAATGCTAGCTAGGAACATTTCCTCTCCGCGGCTGAAGAGAGAGTGTGTAGGTGTTTAAAGATATTCTGTGTAAAATTAGAGGTTGAGAAGCCAGCAGAAAGCATGGTTCACTTTCAACGAGACTTTAGCCGAGAAACTTTATCATATACACTGGAAAAAAAAAAAAGGATTTAAAAAAAAAAGTTATCGCAGAAAAATGCAAGTACTGTAAGTAACACATTGAAACAATTATATGGGATCCAAACTGCACTTATAGTTATCCCTTCTAAAAATAATTTTAAAAAAAAACAATTTTTTTTAAACATTTCTTTCTGTGGTTATAGAAATATTGCATTTTTACAAATTAAGAATTCACCTGTTAATGCCTGTTAGAGCAAATTACTTTGAAATCAAATAATAGAACAGCAGAATGGAATTTATGTAAACCTTAAATTAAAGAACCAATATGGTGAAACTTGAAAAATTTGAATATCGTGCAAAAGTTAATTTATTTCAGTAATTCAACTAAAAGCTGATACTAATATATAATATACTCATTAGTCATTATATGCAAAGTGAGATATTTCAAGCCTTTATGTGTTATAAATGTGATTATTACAGCATATAGCTATGTTGAATTACTGAAATAAATGAACTTTTGCACAATGTTCTAATACATACAAAAACAGTTCATCTCTCGCTTCCTCTTCTGTACAGGTTTTATGAGTTTAACATATCAAAATATCATCATAGTTCAAAATATCTTGGTCACAAATGAATTTTTTAATGCAATATTTTGTGTTAATACATCAAGTTTACACATATGGTTCTAAAATGACCCATTTAAGCAAGTGTGATAACTTTTTGTTAAAATAACCAAAGCAATACATTCACTATACTATAAATCCCTGCACAAAACCCCGGTTACAGGACCCTTGTTTTAGTTTGCACGTACATACATAGTTTGAAAGACATTTAATCTCAGGAGTGTTTTTATAAAATGTGTTTTTTTTATTCAAAATGCATCACAAAAATGTAAATTTATACAAAACAAATTAAAAATGTACGTCAATCTTTAATCAACTGAAAAGTGGTGTGAGTCTTAGTTTCTTGAATAAAACTGTATATTGATTAACCTCCTTAAGTTTAACTAATTTGCTCATTATCAGATAAAATAACGATGGAATCAGCACATGCAGTCACTAAATGATATGGCCAGAAATCAGAAGGCAAAACTCTACATATGTATTTATTCATATTATACAAAAGAACAAAATTATTTATGCTAGAACAAAAGCACCAAAAAGATCCCGTTTTCCACCAGTTGCTGCAGGAATGGCTTCAACTCTGAGAGAGAGAGAGAAATACAAATGAGTTTAACATGTTCAACTGAAATATATATTTTTGATTTAACACTAAACAGTTGTAGAGAGAGAGAGAGAGTCAAATTGAATATTCATGTTACTGACGTAATTCCAAACTCCAGATGTGTAAATGTAAAAGTAACAGCCAACAATTGAATGGTCTCCTTTCTTTCTTCCTCAATTGTTTGTCAATGTGTCAGTTAAAATCTTCCACTTCACTGAAATAGTTATCAGAGAACAGTCACTGTTGTGTTACTGTAACAGAATTATCAGTAACAAAAGGGTGCATTGGGCATTGTGCAAAAATAATGAATAATCTACTCTAACCTGCAATGATAAAGGAAGACCGGTGAGGAGATATCCCAGCCAGATGATTGCCTATGAAAAAAGTAAATACTGTATAAATGTACAATAATATAACTCGTATTCTTTTTCAAGCAGAATAAGATTTACAGGATGTAATGTCACACATAAACACTAAAATAATATATTTTTATATTTACCCTTAATCCAAAAAACAACATGAAATTGGTGAAATAATAATGCACTTAGTATAGTAGTATACATAAAATTCTCAGTTGAGAGTATACTGATACGAAATCCACTAAGAGACATCACAGAGGAGTTAAATGACCAAATATGCAAGTTGAAGGTAATTCATAGCTCTAAAACAACATCATCAAACCTTATTGATTCGAATTACGTCGATATTTTGACAATTTATTATTACATATCGCAGGCTTTCGTGCTAATTGTGGAGCTAGTCAACATTACAAACTACTAATAAAGTGATAAGAGCTGCTTACAACAGGCAACATCTTATTCTCATACAGCTCATTCGTATTATGTTAAACAGTGTTTTAGGGCTGCAACTAACGACTATTTTAATAGTCACCGACTATTGAAACGATTAGTCGACTAATCGGATAATTATTACATTTTTCTAAAATTTAGCATGAATTGCTTTAATTCTGTGGAAAATGATAGTAAACACAAGAAAGAAGGGGGTACTTCAATGAGAAATGCATATTTTATTGAACTTTGCTGCTGATAGGCCGATTCATACTAAAAGTAAATAAAAAATGCCCTGTCTAAAACCAATTAGGCAGAGTGCTTGGTCAGTATAGACATAAATATATAAATAGAGAAACTCTATCATTTTTATGAAGGCCAGGCACATTTGTATTACAAGAAAAAATAAATTAAAATCAAGTAAATATTTTCTTCCTGTAGCTAAACCAGGGGCAGGCACATTAGCACCAATAAAACGGTAAACAAAAATATTAAGTGCATTTTGTGAGATACAGTCAGTGGTCAATCTGTTGCAAAATAACTTTACTACTCGTGATCCAAAACAAAACGTATTGACTTCCATGTTATTTGCCCTATTTTCCGCACTTTAAGGCGCACCTTCAATGAATGACCTATTTTAGAACATTTTTCATATATAGGGCGCACCGGATTATGAGGCGCATAAGATACTGCAGTCACACGTTTGACTGGGTTTGCGACTTTGCGTTATGCATCAACTAGATGTGCTAAAGGGTGTGTTAAATAGTGCGCGGCACCGGAGCTGGTGAGGCGTTTATAATAGTGTGAGCGCGCTGGGGCGTGCACGTAACTTTCGCAGCCTGCGGCTCGTCAGCAACAGCTGGCTGTTACGAATGAGAGTGAGACAACCCGGTTACTATGAACGGGGAGCGCTTTATGAACGTTCTGTGACGCCCGAGTAGCGCCGGGGACAGTGTGTCTGTTAAGAGTGAGCGTTCGTTCCTCTTTCCATTGTCAATTTATATTTTATTTTATTATGAATTTATTTTTTTTTTTCAATTTTGATTTAGTGATTCAAAGTGTAATTTTTTTTTTTTTATTCTCTCTGTCTGGTGTGGGGGCGGGTGGGTGGGTGGGGGGCGGTGGGTGCTGTTTGTTTAGTTTTATTTTATGTATAACAATCTTTCTGTAAACATTTTTGAGATTTGGATATGTTTTGTGTACAAAAAACTGCTACAAATAAAATTATAAAAAAAAGAGTGAGCGTTCGTGAGCGGGAGACACACATAACTTGATTTATACGAGGTTGAACTGGCCGTGTGACAAAGCAGGCATAAGATGGAGACGAGCGCGAGTTCGCGGGCGAATTTAATAACGCGGGGCGTTGTTAACTAATTGGTCTATATATAAGAAGATCCGGATTATAAGGCACACTGTCGTTTTTTGAGAAGATTAAAGGCTTTTAAATTCGCCTTATAGTGCGGAAAATACAGTAAATCTTACCGAGGCGAGTCAAACTCCGTTTTATTCAACTGTCCGACGTGCTTTCTTTTTAAATGTTACTTACTGATTTTGTTTCGCAGTTACCTTCGTCTTCTAGTCTTCTCTTGATCTCTTCTCGTTCTCGATAGTTCTTCCTGTTTTTAAATGTTAACGAGAATGTGTCCAATTTGGGCATGGGCGTGGCAGCTTCTGATGTCACACTTGGATGGGGCCGGGTTGGATGTCCTGATCCTGAGCCCGCAACTGCAAGTGTAGCAAGTTGATTTAGTCATTTGAGTTTAAACCATGTGCAAAGAGAAATGCTGTTTGAACTGTTACAGGGTGGCTACAGGTATAAACAATTTAAATTTAAGACTTTTTAATACCACTTCTAAATTAAATTTAAGACCAAACTTACGATGGAAATATAAATTACTTGGAAATATTACAGTATATTTTCAGTTTTAAACACACTGTCTGTTCAAAAATATGGTGAAATGACAATAACCAATTGTCACTTCCGTACGTGCGGTCGTCTGTGGTGGAGTATAGTGGAGTGAAATGAAATATAGAATCATAAAAATAAAAAAGTATATTAATAAAGGCTTAATGCAAAATATTACAATGTAACGCATTGTAGAAAATATTCGACCTGGCTGGCAGAACGATTGCCTTTGCCTGCATCTTTGCGGTGACATGACTAACATATTTGAGACTAGACATGTGCCGGTATTCGGTAATGCAATAAATCGCGGTAATGAATATGCACGATATTGTTATCGCGGGCTCTTCAAAATACCGTGAAAAATAATAGATTCGAATTTAGACTTTTAGAGCGTGCATTAGCTTATTTTGCATCAACCGCTCAAACACTGCGTGCTGCGCAAAACACGCGTGCACTCTGATGTAAACAATCCCCACATAAGCACTGTGTGCATGCGACAGTGCGCATTAGTCTAATGTAAACAATCCTCACATGGAGTAGAAGCATGGCGGAACGCTCCCGACGATTTATCCCCGCAGGGCTGCCAACTCTCACGCATTCAGCTTGAGACTTTCAGACAGGACGCGGAATACGCGCGCGACGCACAGGGATGTTTTGCTGCTGCGTCGACCTGCATCGACCAACACACGCCGGGGTTAAAGTTCAAAATAGTTCAACTTTTTATTTGTAAAATGGCAAATTGCGTTGTATCTGAAGGGCAACGTTGTACCAAGCGGCACGCGTTGCGCATTCCGCGTCCTGTCTGAAAGGCGCTTAACGCATTTGACACTTTTCACACGCTCTCCCACAGAGAAAAATCACAGAGCAAAGAGGACACTGACACCGACAGACTAGACAGAGCAAGTTACTTTTGATATGAAAGTTGTTATTGATAAATTGATAAAGTTATTGATAAATCAGCTCTTAGGTTCTGATCACAGTTCGTTGCTCCTCAGTTCAAGTAAACCGATCATGTCACTTTCATTTTCATTTAAAGATACAGTATAACTTACCGAAAGGTATATTTACTTATACATAATAACAATCAATCAGTGTTTTCAAACACGGAAAAAGGTCAGTAACACTGCAGGAGAACAGTTGTGTCACAAAACGTTACATTTACCTCAGGAAAGCCATTTAGTGACCAGCAAATTAGTTGAATTAAAAAAAAAAAAAGCAAGGAGTATTTTGCTAAATATTATATTTAATTTCTCTCTGTATGTTTACAGCATTATGTGAGAGATTTTTTCTTTCTTGAGAAATATTAAAAGACTGGGGCCTACCTATATTTATCCAAAAGAGTCAATATTGAATTGTACCATAAACATTGTAACATGTTGTCACTAAACTTTAAAAAATTCGGTTTAGTTACCATATGTTTTGAAAATCACAATTACATATTGTGATGTAAGTTGGGTTTTTTTAGAGACCCACAATGCATCTGTTTTTCTTGAGCATTAAAATATTAATTTCATTAAAATATCGTGATAATACCGTATACCATGATAAAAGCTCAATCAATTAACCGCAGCATGAAAATTTGATACCGGCACATGCCTATTTGAGACCTATCCAATCTGAATTTAAGACAATTTAATACTTTTTAAGGCCTTATTTTTAGGAAAATTGATTTAATACTTTTTAATGACCCGCGGCCACCCTGTGTTAACGATAGCAAAACTTTTTCAAATGTATTATTGTCAATAGTTCCAATCTGGAGTTCCTATCAATTGTTGTAGCGGGGACCTTAATTAGTGAGACGCAGAAGGAAGTTATATTGCTTTTCCTTAAGCGTTCGTTCGCACGCAGATGCCTAGCTCGTGCGCTCGGAGAAGCAGAGGTAGTGTTTCTCTCTCATATTTATCTTGCATTTACTACTTTCTTGTAATGTAATCACTATATTTATGATGTCAAAATGTTGATAAGAGTTTATATCATATTGATATTCAATATGATTTTCTACCGTGTTAAAATGAGCTTAATTTTCCTCACGTGCGTCTTTCAATGCAGGAGTAAGAGAGTAGATCTTCCGATGACTGTGTACTAATTACTGACTCACTACTCTGTTAAAGGTGAATTAATTGCACGTGTCCATCCCATTCAACGTGTGCTCGTGTTTCTGTGGTGTCCGGAGGTTACCATTTGAAGTCTGCTACACAAGCACTGATCCTGAGCCCTGTCGTCTGCCATGTCCCTTTACCTCATCCTCTGTGTCCTCGGAGTCCACAGTGTCTAAGTCTGTTGTTGCCGCTGCCAATAATGCTGTATCCCCGTCTGTTTTCCCGGTCTCCCCTGACCCACGTGCACCAAGAGGGCTCTTGACCATCGCCTTCATGATTCCATCATTGGTTTCACAGGATGTTCCTCGACAGGTCCCATGGTGTAATGGTGTAACTCGAGATGAGTTTAGAGACTGGAACTTTCTCATCCTGACTGCTTTAACCACTGCTGCTCAACTACAAAACAACAGCGGCTTAATATATGCCATCTGAGTGCACTGGACATCAGTTGAGCACTAAGTATTGTGCTACTATTTACCCTTTCACATAGAAGAGCATGTATCCATTCTTCCGAAAGCTGCGTGATGTACTTGACCGGAAGGTTTTTTTGATGCTGGCATCATTGCACTCCAGCCAACCAGAGCCGCCGAAGTCCCGTACGTGACTGATGTAGTGTCCTACAAGACAGAGGGACTTTAGTATGAAGCTTAATGAGCGAAAGACATGACATTTAGAGCGAATGACATGACATGGAAATTTAGAAGCATGACTTACCACAATATAAACTGCTGCCCAGATGGGACACGACTCCAGCTAGCTTGTACCTGCAATCTGATGCTTCCTCCTGTTGAACACAAACACGTATTATTAGATGGTGCTGCATTTCAAATGTTTATGAGCATCCTAATTTTTCATCTATCTATCTATCTATCTATCTATCTATCTATCTATCTATCTATCTATCTATCTATCTATCTATCTATCTATAAGTCTCTATCTGTCTGCATATCTGTCTGTCGGTCTCTATCTATCTATGTATCTATGTATCTATCTATGTATGTATCTATCTATCTATCTATCTATCTATCTATCTATCTATCTATCTATCTATCTATCTATCTATCTATCTATCTATCTATCTAAATTGTTGTCTCTATCTTTCCTGTGGTCTTGCAGGCTCAACCCTATTGTTCTTCCATCTCTTTCGCAGTAGATTTGGCCTCTTCTTCCTCTCAATCACTGTTATCTCCCTGCTCTCTGTTAAACATCATGCATAAAATAAGAGAACTCTTCAGTACATATTCAATGCTTAAACATCATTTAAATGCTGTCTTTCATTTCAACTATCTTCCTAACGCTGTCTTTTAGAGTAATTCAGGTGAGTGATTGATCCGGGTGATGTTTGATAACCTGACACACACCTGTATTAGAGGACAGTGTAAACTCTTCTGGAACCTCGAGTCGATCCTTTAGTTTGCACATCGAGGATCTCACGTCGAAGCGCATGATGAGAAGAACCAGGACTCTGGAGAGAGATTCAAATGATCAGAAGTTATAAAGTACCGCATACAGTATATGATTTAATCTGCAGCGAACTGACTAATTAGCAACGATTCATACTGTGGAAAGTTGATCAATTGCACGGCCTCTGAGGTTGTAGTGCCGACACACTCGCTGCAGGAGCATTCAAATGAAGATGTCTGGAGAAAAAAAGAAAGATTGATATTAGCCTATTAGAAATTGATATTTCAGAAACTACATCCTCCTGCTAGTATATAATCAGTGCCATCACCCACTTTGAAGTACTGCTGCAGGCTGTCTGTGACTCTTCTCTGAGGCCCGATGACCAGCAAGAGGTGGTTGCAATCCTCAAGGAAGCTCCTCTGGAAGCCACAGCTGAAACGACAGAACATTAGCGTCACATAAATAAGCCCGAGAGTCTTAAACGAGTGCACGTGTGGATGTGAGATGATACCTGTCTAGTGTTAATTTCGTTAACGAAAACTAAACGAAAATATTTTCGTCAACGCACATTTTTCACCGAACGAAAACTAGACGAGACGAGACTAAAATCCCGACTAATAAACAATAACTGGGACTAAATCAGAAATAATTTTCGTAGACTAATAAAGACGAGACGAAAATGCAGTTCGGTAAATAAAGACTGGGCTAAAATCTATGGACATTTTAGTTCACGAACAAAGACGAGACGAAAATTACATATTATTATATGATATGGTTTTGTCAAATCCTGTCTCCTCCTCCGCCTCCTCCTCGTCAGCTCTTCCGCCACACACACCCACGTTCAAACCTGGAGCGGGCGGGCACAGTCAGTCAGAGTAGCCTACACAACACGGAGCAGACAGGAGCTGGATTCACGGTGAGGCGGCGGCGACAGGTTAAAAGTAAAACATGCTTTGCACGGCCGGGGCTCGGGAGAAAGAAGAGACGTGATATATGGACACATTTTGATGATAAACTAACTAATGATGGCTAACTTTCATAGCATTTAGTATCCAGGCTGGCTATGTTGCGTTAGCTTCTTAGCACTTAGCGACCGTAGCCAGTTGTTGATAGAATTGTATGTGAAGTTAAATTTATGCTAACTTAGATATGTTATACTGGCCGGGCAACTATAGGTTCAGTTAAATTTGATTAAAGCAGACAGACGCTTTAAAAAGATTAGTTAAAAAGATTTCATACGTTCTAGCAATCTATGCCTTGTTTCACCTTAAATACTGTACCTTTATATACCATGTGAACTAGCTGGCAGGAAAGCACTTTTGTTGTATCAGTTGGAGTTTTTTTTTTTTCACAACATTGACCTCAAATCTATTTATTTTATTATTCTATGTGAACTAGCTTTAAACAGCCAGCACTTGTGTTAAGTTCATAATACACTTTATTTTATTTATTTGTTTCCTTTGTCAGGTGTATTTTATTTGTTTTAATGCAAGCATTTGTGTTTGTGTCTTTGAACCTTAACAATGTTCAAAATAAATATGCAAATATTGTCAGAACATCTTCCATGTCTGCATGTGTTCCTTAAAATTGTGTTTTTTTATCAAAAAGATGAGAGAAAATGTTGAAATGTGAAATAATTTTAGGAAATGTTAAATATTATCTGCTGACAAAAAAGTAAAAGGTTAAAATGATGTCCTGACTAAAACTAGACTAAAATGTTGACAGTTTTTTTTTTTGACTAAAACTAAACGAATAAAATTATGTTTTCTTGGACTAAAATAAAGACTAAAATGCTCGACTTATAGTCGACTAAAACTAGACTAAATAAAAATGGGATGATGTCGACTAAATGTGATAAAAACTAACAAGCGATGCTGAAACTGGACTAAAACTGAAACTAAATTTAAAAATGGCTGGTAAAATTAACACTATACCTGTCACAAGTGCGCAGGCGGTTGAGTTTGAACTCCATGTTACGAACTGGGCAGGTGTATTGAGGCCAGATGCGCTGCAGAAACTCGCCCTCCTCCTTCAAATGGGACAGACAGACCATCAGGAACTCATGGGCGTCCTGAGAGGAGTAAGAGTGAAGGACAATGAGGTTAAATCTTCACTTATTTTATGAGCAATAATAGATCTGAGCATATACGTAGATCCGGTTCATCACCTGCTGATGGTCTCCCATGAACTCCGGATGGTGAGTTTCAATGGCTCGCTTGACTGCAGACAAGAGCTTCACCTTTAGCTTCACATCATTGCCTGTTAGCCTGGTCAACTGCAGGTCAGTAAGTGTCCTAGAGTAGTAAAATAGTAAAGAACTGCTTTAGTATTGCTGCATTTTTCAATTAGATTGAAATATAATGTTGCACAAATTCAGTGTTGATACCTGAATCAGGATATATATATAAAAATAACTATTAAAAATAAATGTTTTTTGAAATAAAATAAAGGTTAAAATAAAATTATTATTAATATATTTAAATGATAAAGCAATATAATGAATATTAAAATAATAATTATTAATACAGTAATATTAGTCCTTTTCATTTAGTTTACTAAAATAACAAACAAACCCAAATAAAAAAATGGATAAAACTAGCTGTATAAACACTAATAAAAATCACCAAAAAAATAACTAAAATTTAATAAAATAATGAATAATATCCCGATGATACAAAAATATCACTAACCTAAGCATCGTGGTCCCCTCATTCCAGTGCTCCCGCTGGGAAAGGACATCGTCCCGGAACGGGGAAGCAGCGAGGAGGCACTGCAACACGGAGTTCATGTAACAGGTGTTCCCTAAATTAGGAAAACTGTGACAGGAGGGATTCAGTTAGTCAGTGGAAAGCACATCATATGTGAGTATGTGTGATCTAGTTGTGCATATCCAACATTTACCCCAAGTGCTTGATTTTAGCTGGCGATGCTGTCGACACATCAGGCAGCTTTACATCCTCCTCCTCCTCCTCCGTGTCTCTCTGCTGCTCGACCTCGATCTGCTCCTGCTGTGGATTGCACTGGATGAGCCGCAGTATCTCAGCCTGAGACAGACCGTTAGACTGAGCCGTCGCAGTGGCCAGCGCATCGAGAACGCTGTGAAAACGTCAGCAATATGTTCACATTCTGCTTCTCCATGTGGGTTTGATTTCAACTATAGTCTGCATTAAATCAACTACTCAACTTTTTTTTTAAATCATGATTTATTAAAATATTAGCTTATAGTTGCATTTAGTTGGGCGATAATATAGTTTATATTTTGCAATGATGTAATAAATCAGGCAATTGAGATTTGTTATATATTGCTTTACAAGTATACACTGTATGTACGTGGATAAGTTTGGACATCCTTGTACATCCAACTTAATATAAAGAGCTGTGTTTTATATAAATGTATATGTATAGCTGGGTTATTAATTCATTATGTGCTGATATAGAGATCAACACACAACATGTATTCACTCACCAGTCAAAATCCACATCAGAGACGTTTTCATCTCCGGTTGCATCTGTGACGAGATTCATAACGCAGTTTGAGTTATTATGCTCCACATATTAGACTAATGAATTATAGTGCTTTAAATAATATGGTAACAGTTTAAACTTCTCTAACCTTCAGTTCCCTGAAGTTCTGCTAGCTGATCAATCATCACGCTATCATCGGAGGAGGAATAACCCACAGAGCTGGAAGAGCTACAGCCTCGCATGTTCTCCACATCTGAAAATTCCCATTCTGCAGACGAGGAATAACCATCACTGTTGCTGGAGGAGGTGCTCAACTCTTTGGGTAAGGCTGTGGACGAACCATTTGAGATATTTTAACGTACAGTTATATAAAAAAGCACTACAGTCTGCAAAAAAGCTAACCAACATCTGTGAGAAGATAATAATTTAGTTTTTATTGTGCACACTCAAGCTTACAGTAAGTGTACAGTTGGGAAGATAGATGAGTGTTTAAAGCAATACCTCTGATGGCTTCTTTCTCCTGGATGGCAGGCAGCAGATCAAGCTCTGGATCAGAGGATCCACTGACTGCAAGAGAAGAAGTCGCATCAGTGTGTGTGTCGATGCTGGATGTGAGAGTGTTGGTGGACTCGTCCAGCTCAGAGGATGACACACACGGCAGAAACACAGATAGTATTCTGCGGAAAGCCCGGCGCACAGGTTTGAATGTGCGTTTCATGAAGGAGGAAGATTTGGGATGATCTGCAGGTACAGCGTCTGAGACCACCACATTCGGAGAAGATGACATATCCACGCCACACTCCTTTTTCTTCGGCTCCTTTTTAGTTTTTCGATGCATTTTGTCACACAAAATATCGATAACCATTTTCTAAAGAGAAAAGAAAAAAATTCAGAATGAAAAACCACACTCACAAGCTAGCAGTAGGACTGGGTATTGAGATGCATTTCACGATTCGATTTCAATTCGAAAGCTTGCTATTTGATTCGATAAAATAGACCATTTCACAAGATGTAAAAAACACTGGTCCAGAAGCACTTCCTGTTTCAGTTTGTAACTGTTTTCTTTATTTCACATGTAAAGAAAACATCTTAAAGATGTTTGTTTAACTTTTTGATTCAGTTTTATATGTTCTGTTGGTTGTATTTTATCCCAGCTTTTGGTTTTTAGTGTAGTGTTAAAAAACTGAAACAGGAAGTGCTTCTGGACCAGTGTTGTTTACATCTTGTGAAATGGTCTATAGTTATAACTGTTATTATTAAAACTGTATTAAGTGCAATTTAAATGTTTGTATACAAATCAGTTCTTAGCTCTAACCTTGCGAGTGTTCCCTGTAAAGTAGCGTTACCTGATCTATTTAACGTTACATCTATTAATTTAGCAGAGCTACTATATGAACATCCAAATGATTCGATATTGATTTATTGAATCAAATTGAAAGCTTGTGAATAGAAATTCTAATCGATAAATCGGTCGTGTGTTTTTAAAAAAACGGGCATAAACATGAACCTTTTACATCACAAATTTATTCAAACATAACGTTAACGTTACATTAAATATTGAAGAATAGGTCAAGTAACGTTAAATATATAATAAATGTGAGGATTCAGTGCATAAATGTAGAAAGTGTATTTAGAATATATAGAGTTTCATTAGAAACCTCTATAGTTTATTTTTCAAGTTGACAGTTCAATATTTCCACCGAATGCGATTTCTGAGGTAAAAGTAACGTCTGTGACAATATTGTAAACAAGCTGTTTTACCGGTTTGATTGATCGACGAAATTAGACATATGGTTTTTCCGCGGTTCGATTGATCGATTATATGAGACATGATATTGATTGTGTTATCTTTTAGCATGTCGGTGCATGTTTATTTGGTGCTTTATTTGGTAGTAAGAGATGATCGGTTAATTTGTCGCTTGAACTGACTGAGCGATCTCTCGCGCCACAGTAAAGAGCGCCAAAACACTTCTAAAATAATCCCGATCAAATATTTACTTGAGAAAAGTGTGACACAATAGCCCTAATGTTAGTTGTTTTTAGACACTTGCACAGAAAAACTTGAATTGTGACTTACCTCACTCCTGCTCGTCAACAACTGAGTGCATTTAGATGTTGACACTGTCAAGATTTTTTTCTTTCTCGCAGCTCTCTGTGACATCATAATCAAGCTAGGAGTGGAATGCGTTCATGGAATCAGAACCTTCTGTGTTGAAATGAAGTGAGAAATAATGTGTGGACTGTGCTTAAATTACTAATTATTTTATTTTTCATACTTTATTTGACTGCCCCAGAATTAGCTACAAAGCTAAATTTCATCTGCTATCCCTGGGCAGGGGGCAGGGCATATAATATTCATGATATTAAAAACATGTAAAAAATAAAAATAAAAAATAGGGTTGTCTGTAATCTGTAAAACAACTTTAATGATTTCAGGAAAAGTTGGAAAAACACTTATATTACATTATATTATATTTTCGGATGATAAGGACATCAATAGACAGTGTCGTAAGATATATGGTCAGGCTAATGTGCTGGTACGTAAATTTGGCATGTGTTCTGCTTATGTTAAGGTAGCTTTATTCAAAGCATTCTGTACACCTCTATATACTGCCCACTTGTGGCGGTCGTACAGCAAAAAGAACATTGTTGCGTATAACGATGGTATGAGACTGCTTTTAAAACAACCAAGATGGAGTAGTGCCAGTCAGATGTTTGTAAATGTTGGTGTGCCTACCTGTACTGCCTTAATAAGAAATTTTATTTTTCGATACATGTGTAGAATTTCTGTCTCTGAAAACAGGATTATACAAGCTTTAGCCCATAGTAATTTTAGCTCTGTTAGGTTTACATCTAGACTGTGGAGACATTGGCGCACCTGTTTGTATATTGCAAATGAAAGGTAATGAACTTTGTATTTTATATTTATTTATTGCTTGTTGTAACTGTTTTTTTTTTTTTTTGTACTATGGACCTTTCTTTTTGAGTCCTGAATAAAGTAATATTATTATTATTATTATATTATTTAACATTAAATAACATTAATATTTATATAACATTAATATAACATTTATATATATATATATATATGTGTGTGTGTGTAACACTTATATAAAATTATATCTTACGTGCAATTTAAATGTTTGTATACAAATCAGTTATTTTTAACCCTGGGAGTGTTCCCTGTAAAGTACCTGATCTATTTACATTTATTAATTTAGCAGAGCTGCTATTCAATGAAAATCCAAATGAATCGATATTGATTTATCGAATCAAATTGCTTGTGAATACAAATCTAATGATAAATCTGTCATGTAAAACAGTGTATTTAAAAAACCATAAAGCCATAAACAGGAACCTTTTACATCATAAATGTATTCAAACATAATGTTAATGTTACATTAAATATTGAAGAATAGGTCACGTAAATGCATAATAAATGGATTCAGGGCATACGTGTAAGTGTATAGAATATAGAAAGTTTAATTTAGAAACCTCTATAGTTTATTTTTCAAGTTGACAGTTCAATATTTCCACCCGTGACATTAGCCATGTTTCCATCCACTTGTCAATCGAATTATCTGAAGTTCGGTAAAAAACACATGCGAATAAAGCTGGTATCTATTCACAGAAGTTTTGCTGTGGATTATGTCAGTTATGGATACTAACGGACTACTTTGTATTAATGATGAAAGACATCTGTATACATGAATGTTCGGTGCCATTGGTGAGAAGTGAATGTAATAAAACACTAAAGTTAAGTGCTGTGTGACTAGCTAACGTTACATGTCTGTGAAAGGTGCTAGCAGCTATATGAATACATGTATTCATCTTCTATTAGCCTACAGGATGTCTTATCAATATATAGACAGTCTCCTATCACCTGCATTGCTACCACAGAAAGCTGTCGCTTGTAAGTTTAACATTACAATATTGTCCCTAGTATAAGCATCCAGCTGAGTCTTGGGAGAACAACCCAAAAGCATTGCCCACCACCTCATCAAAAATCCTCATCAAATTCATCATATTAAAAACATGTCAAAAAAAAAAAAAAAAAAAAAGGGTTGTCTCAATCTCTATAGAGATTTTTTTTTCTCGTTTATCTATAAAACAACTTTGATGATTTCAGGGAAAAGTTGGAAAAACACAATTATATTATATTACAGACCTGGTATTGAGGTACTATGACTAAGAACTAGGTTATATGCCAACATTTATCCAACAACGAAACAGACAGAACCAGAAAGAGCTTTATTGGCAAGTTGGCCTATGTTTACACACTCAAGGAATGTTGTGACAGGAGCTTCCGGTGCATGGGAAAGAACAGACATAGTGCAGACATACACAAGGATGAAATCAATAATAATATTATAAGAAAACTAAATGTAAATAATGCAATATAGACCTAGTACAGTAATAGAAATAGGCCTATAGAAAGATTATAAATTATGCTGGGCAACGATTAATCATCCACAATATCCAAAATAAAAGTTTGTGTTTACATCGTGTATGTGTGTGTATATATATTTTATATATAAATACACTCACATGCATGTATATATAGTTAAGAAAAATTTATTATTTATATGCATGCATGTATAAAATATTTATAGTTATATATAATATAAATATTGCCGTTTCTGTAAGTTAGTGGCTTACAGTCTGTCCAGCAGACATGAAGTTTGCTAGTCTATGCTTGTGTGTTTTCCCATTTTGTCTAACCTGGAGTTTTGCTCAGACCTTTTGACCAGCTTTGCTGGTAATCTTTGTTTGATATTTTTGGACTCTTGCCTGAATCATCCAGTGTGGATTTGTATCTTGCTCAACCCAGCTCTAATGCTGTTTGTGCTCAGGAAAGAAAAGACTACCTGTTTTTCTTTCTAAGTCTGCCTCTTGTGATTATCTGCCACACTGTTCGATTCCTAGACCTGACATCATTTATATACAGAATAAAATATTTATAGTTATATATCATATAAATATTACAGTTTAGTGGCTTTTGCAACGTCTGTGGCCTGCATCTTCTCATATATATATTTATTATAATTATCCTAATTTGACATCTGAAATGATCAGTGCACGTACATTAGAACATTTCTCTTTGCCATTTTTTTAATGCTGCAGATGAGTTTTCCTGGTGTGAGCAACTGGTGTGTGTTTCAAAATAATGAATGTAATTGGTGCTGGGTCAAAAAATAAACATAACCTAGCCTAATTGATTCTTTTTGATGTTGAGGTCCTTTTGTTCATAATGATTAAGTTTTGTTTAGATGTTATGGCCATTAATGTAGACTGTGTGTTCATTTCGATAATACACTGAAGCAGAGAAAGTGTTTTCTTTTTATTAATTAAATTCATTTTTGTTTTACTTTTTAAAAGTAATTTAAAGAGACAATGTACTTTTTTATTTAAAATCAACATTTTTATTAATAAATATATGGTGTACAAATAGGCTACCTCTGCCAATTATCTGACTTATCCTCGTAAACTAAGAATTTATTATCTTTATTTACATGGGCAGGTAGGTCTAGGGAGTTGCTATGCAGTTGCCAAGGTGTTCTGCGTGCTAGATAGTCAAAAGTGCTCATGCTCTCTGCCACATTAACTCTGTCATATTTGGATTTGGGTTTTTATTTAGATCACTAACCCTGAATATAAACTTGCTTTAGTAAGAAACAAAAGTGTGCTTGGTCTGGCCTGTTTTCTCCCCATACAGCGACAGGCACGACGGGAACATCCGCCTGACAGCGGGGCGATCGATTCACCTCAGAGTAACGAGTCACCTCGAGATTTTCCCTGCTGAAACTGACACTTTGAATTGGATGAATATTTCATGGGTTCAGAAGAGAAGGTGATGAATAATGTGAAAGGCCGCTTCCTTAAGGACACACGAAGGATATTTTTTAAAAGGAGAGG